GTCCTGACCGCGTAGCTCAGTTGGAAGAGCATTGGGCTAGTATTCCAAAGGTCGTAGGTTCGAATCCCACCGTGGCCGGGCATATTTTTCAAGCTCGCCCGGTGTGGATATAGACTCAGAGTAATACCACAAATATCAACCTGGTCTCTTTTAAAATCCCTTTAATTTGTTCTTACGTGGTTTTCCCAGATGTAGTGACGACAACATTAAAGTTTAAAGAAGAAAATTCTAACATTTAAACCGACTAAACAATAACATAGTAAACTTGCATAATTAAACAGCAACTAAAAATGATAGGTTTTACTAAATCTTTTCCTGTGCAATTATTACTAGCATTGGAGACAAGGATAATAGTTTATTTGAAAGAGAAAAGAACAGGCTTTGAAGTAAGCCTACAAGCGTTTAACTACAAATAGTATTTCGAAAGTTATTAAGCACAAAAAATGAATTGCGTTTATTTTGATACACCCTGTATATCTGTTCGAGTTTAAACAGTACTTGAATCAGTAAAAGCGTGGCTAAATCGATTTTCCAAGTCGTTGTAATTATTGATAAAATGCATGCCTAATTCCTCAGTACTCGATCGGGCTTCCTTCCAATTTCTTGGTGTAATTTCCCGAATGAACTTTATTTCATACGGGTATCAAACTCATATAGCAACTTTATCCAGATTCAAATTACCGTGTGCCAAAAACGTAACATTAAAACTTGCGCGAGGGAAATTATCAATTATCACACAATGTCAATTATCACACAAAGATCACAGAATGTTTATCACTCAATATTAAATTAAACATAAAAGTGGACAAAATTCATATCAATCCGCTAAACCTGTTTATCAGTGATAGTGCTGATACTTTGGTAGCTTAATAAATTCACTGGGACAGTTAGCAGTGTATGCTGGATTACAGTAAAACATTATTTGACAATAAAACATTATAATTATTTGATAGTAAAACATTTGCTATCATATTTTTGCCGGTTGAATAGAGTATAACATTACAGTAATTCTGTTTATGATAATGATGATAAATAACTTTATACAATACTTATAACCTACAGTGAAATTCATATCACGGGTGCCGGCTATACTATACGGCATGTTTTACGTAGTATATAATAAAGACCTACAAATATAATCGCAATATTGAAATATAAATCTTGTAATTAGAAAGCGTATGATAGCCGTTGTAGTCGGGAAACGTCCGAAAACGACGCCATGGTTTTCTGCGATCGGTGAAAAAACTGCACGAACCGCAAGCTCAAATTGCACGAACCGCGACCGCGAACCGCGACCGCAAACCGCACGAACCGCAACCGCAAATTGCACGAACCGCGACAAAGCAAACGAACAGCGACCGAACCGCAGTGTTAACTTATTTCTAGGCAATATTATAAGTACTCGTGAGTTTTTCAATGCATTCAAATACTCGTGCCATTTTGATGCTCTTTGAAAAACTCACTGGTTCATATGTTTTATCCAAAATGCACTCGAAAATATTCTATTACCTATCCAAAAGACCATCTTTACAGATAATAACGCGAAAGTTAGTTTTGATTTGGAAATGCTTCGGGAACTCGCAATTCTTCAATGAAACGTAAAATTAACTTCTTGGTGATATGCGCCATAACGCAAATGTGAGAATAGATCCTTCGTTCGACTGTGCCGTCTGCAGATTTTACATTCAGTAACATTGAAGCCAATGAATAACGACGTACGATATCTTTTCTTGGTTGTTTGAAGCAGACAAACAATGAACCTGGTGTGTGTGAAAGCCACAAGTCCACACGTAGTTCCTTTTCTAGCTCTTGCAAACTACTTCGTAAAAACATCACCAGTTGGTCTTCACGGGCAGCTATTTCGGCAAAATCCCGGTATGATTTATTAGAGAATAGTTCCCACATTACTAACACACCATGCCCACACCTGGAACCAGACATAGTGCTATCGTGACCACCAAGAAACAATGGGTTGTCATGAGGTTTAACTTGATCCGGTTTTCTAATCATAATTACTGCCGAAGGGAAAGGACAGCCTAATCATTTGTGTAAGCTCGTTGCAATGGATTTCACTTCAGGAATACGGAAATCAAATACAGGAAAATCATTTGGAAACGTATTGGCAACCAAACCCTGATTCATCGCCATCTCAAGAAATGGAAGATGGGCTCCTCCTAGAGCACCGTCAATATGAAACCAAAATCCATTTCGAACGTCAGATTTGAATGGGTCTTCCGAACTATGTACAAGGCGTTCGTACATGTTGTGTTGTTTCAATATAGGCGCAAGCTCATTGATGGCAGCTCGTGGATTATCGTAGGCTCCTTTAAATGTGGTACCACTTGTGAAAACTACGAGCGGAGGGTAGCCTCTCATAACAAAGGCAGTGACCAGTTTCACAAGGCATGGGATGCTAATCGACCCATCCGCTTCCACAGGCACTGCACGTGGCCAGCCGTTTTGATCAAGGGATTCTTCATTAAAACTGGAAGGGTAATCGTCAGGATATTTCAACGGGCAAGAAAAATGTCCACTGCCAACATCACAAAACACTTTCATCTGTAACATTCTCAATGTTTTTGCAAGGCCGTGAAAGCTTTCTTCTGAAAAGAATACAACTGGTGTAAAAGCGTTAGAATTGTCCTTTGGCTGCACATTTGATAAATCTTCCTTGCGTTGTCTGTGGGACGTAACAGGTTGCTTCACGGGAGGACTACACGTATTGAATAGGATGGGATTACGGAGAGGCATTCCGGCTAAATACTCCCTTGCATTATACAATGCGAGATGATTACCTTCGGTGCAGCCCATGGACGTAACATAACCCCAGTATTTCCGTTCTTCCTCATTTGAAGGATCGGGTTGCTGTATCCCCCAGAGCTTGGCAAAATAATCCAGCACGCTACGTTCAATGATCTTAGTATTCAGTGCATTTTGCGCTTCTGCTGAGAATGGATCTCCACCATTGTTCAGTGCGATATCAAAAAATGGTTTCGTTCTTTCGCAGGTGAAACTTTGATTACCCTGAAAACCAAAAGCGCATTTTGATGAGATAATAAGTTGTCGCGGAGCTGGTTCCAAGTAGACTCTCTTTGCTCAGGTGTAAGACTATGCTGGGATAATCTGGCATCCTCTTTCCGGTCTAATGGATGCTTACGGTACTTTTCATTAACGTTTTGGCCTTCTTTTAAAACATCATCCGCGCTTTGTAGCGGAGTGTTCCTGATCCTAAACGAAACAGAACAAGTATGGTAAGAGAATCTCATGTCTCAAATCAAATTGGGAAATAAAAACGCACCATAGGCAACAATTTGCTCTTGCTGTTAAATTATTGCCTATAATATTCATGCTTCTAATAAATGGCTGCTTTGTTTAAAACAAATCATCAATAATTCATGAGGAAAATACAAAAGACATCGCTGCCGTGTCCGTTGTTTTATATGTGATAAAAAATCATGTTCATTTGCAAAAACTTTAGCTTCATTTTCAAGGCTTAGACAACGTTTAAACTGCTTCGCCAATGAACTCAACAAATAAGTAGTTTTTTAAGCCAACTCCATGATACATACTGTCCTTGAAAACCTAATATAAAATATCACCCAGGTGTAGGAGTGAAATACGCGTATGCTTAGGGCAGGGGCGGATCTAGGATTTTTCGCACGGTAGTCAAAATTTTATGACGTCATCGATGACGCCAAACGTGATGACGTCATTTGACATGATGTCATTTGATATCAGGATGATAGTCCAATTTTTGTATAGATATTTTGTTTTATTAAACTACAAATGCGTAAATGACATAATTTTCGTACCTGCCAATGTTCAGCATATGATATATTAATTTATAATATAGCATTTGTAAATTTTGAACGCTGATTGGCTAAGAGCCGTGTTGATATAACTCCATGTCAACACGGAAATTTTCCGCCGCTTGTAACACGGAAATTGTTCTTATTCTTCGGGCTTTTGACATTGCTATATTATAAAACAAATATAAATCATTTTTTCCGAATTGATATATAGTTATATCAACACTCGTGGAAGTTGGGAAAACTCGAAATTGTGTGAAAACACTCCGCCCTTCGGGCGTCGTGTTTCCACACAATTCCTCGTTTTCCCAATTTCCACTCGTGTTGATATAACTGTATATCAACACGGAAAATGTTTTATATTTGTTAAATATAGACTGTTTCGCCCTACAGTGTATACCTTGGCTCATCAGCATGACTATGAAACAGGTTTACCAAAAATAGTAAACCGCGATCCAACAAGGACAGCTCCTTGAAAAAGCTGAACACAAGCACAGGTTTCTGGCTCCTTAAAACCAGATTGCTTGCCTTCACATCTTTTGCAAGAGCAAAGGGAGTTTGGCTAGAACTTAGAAATGGGTGACAAAAAAATGAACAATGAACACCACCTAAAATGAGCAATCTGGTTTTAAGGTGCCATAAACCCACCTTAAACCTTTCACCGCAGCAAAAGGAGCTTGGTTAAAAATGGGTGACAATACGGGACATTTCATGGATGTGAAATTGCCTTGTTATTCCCTTTAGCCCCTTCCTCAGTCCTCCTATTACTAACCTATGTCTAATCTAATTAAATTCATCATCTTGTTATATACTGTCCACTATGAAAATGTATAATATCACTAGCGAAATGATGCCTCAAAGCTGCAGCTTCAGTGGAAGTCAACTTTTATTGAAAACAAGTTTATTTTACCTGGCATTTTAAACACATTTTAATCACAGTCGATTCAAATACAAAATATTTCATTACAAATGACTATTACTGTACTTTACTTATCTAGTTATCTGAAATATTAAATTGACAAGGTTTTTAACACAGTATTCTATTATATTCCTATATTATGCTTACATACTGTATATAGACAGTCACATACTATCAGCATGGAGTTTGTCTGTCAGGGCCTGAAATAATGTTCCCAAAGTGTTCCCGATCAAGGTGGTCGGCAGTCATGACTTTCCCTACTTTTTCAGGTTGGAAACCCTGCTTTTCCGCCGATCATAAGCAATTTCTTGCCTATTATTGATTAGTGATAAGTTGTTATTTCATGCCCTGGTCTGTTGAAATTTTTTTAAACTGGTACAAGATGCAATGGACCTGTCTCAAGCCAATGAGATCAGACTCGATATTTGGCATCAGCTTTTGTCTACAAAGCCCGAATGTTTTTTTTTTTT